ATGCACAAGTACGTTGGTGTGGCACAAATGTTGCATTCCACATGAGTATGATATTGAAGTGGCAAAGTTAGTGGCTACTCTCATCTCTCTCATCGTGCGCATTACGTTCACATTATTCTCCAAATTCCAACTCGTGTTCATCGCCCATTAGCAATTTCCTCTCCATTATCAACCAAAATGCTACTCCCTAACTTAGTTTTCCAGCCACTTAAATTGCACATGCAATAATTCCGGTTCCACATCAAAATATGAAGAAAACGACAGCGTTTCTTGTTGTTACATCTCATACCTACCACCAAATCTTGCCTAAGAAAAGGATAATTTTTTTATCTTATTTTATATTTAGTGCACATTAAACTAATAAATTATATTTCTTTTAATTTCTTAAAAATATAATATTGCTAAATTTTTTCAAAAAAATATTATCTGTAATAACTGTGTTAGCTCAAACAAAATTAATTTTTAATAAAAAATATGTATCATCTAAAAAATACATAATACTATTTTATTTTGGCTATTTATAATTCATATTATCCTATGAAATAAAACTTACACCAAAGACTAGAACAAAAATAAGACAATAAATTATAAGATAAGCTTATTATATCTTGCTAATTAAACAAAATATAAAAATTAGTGAATAGTTTTATTTTAAAATTAATCCCTAAGTTAAATTTTTTTATAATATTTAATTTATGTATATTAAAATTAATACAAGGTATAATTTAAAATATATATATAAAAATACAAACAATTCCAATTTTAAAGTGGTTATCCGAAAGTACTCATTATTATTTTCTTCAAGGCTTTGAGAATTCAGAGTAAAAGGGAAAGAAAATATTTGTAAGGTACGAAAAAAATAATATAAAAATTTTAAATTAAAAAAATTTAAATATTTTATTTTTAAATTAACTTTCAAACAAAATCTTCATAGATAGGGAGACAAGACAGAGGTTAGTGATTCTCTTTCTTTTTTGGGCAGGAATGAGTCTCCTGTAATGAATGGAAAGTGCAGAATATGAGATTTGAGCATGCTCCTCGTGTTGTGTTCACCCAAGAAAATAAATCAGGAATGACCACTCTATAAAATGATGAATTTAAAATCTTATTTTATTCTATAAAATTATAAATATAATTATGATAATTTTTTACAAAAAAATTTATCATTATTTAATTTATCAATTAATATAATTATTATAACTTTTGTTTATGATATTTTTATATATTTTTTTTATTAAACATGACATATAACCCATCTAGTTAAAAATAGGTCAACTCGTCGTTAATTTCACCCCAAAAAAATATTAATTTAATGATATCTTCCTATTTAATCCTAGTTTATTTAAAAATATATGAATAATATATTTTTAAAAATATATTGATACCCTTAAAACATTTATTAATATTTATCTGATTATATTATAAAAATTTAAATCCAGTATTATCGATGCTATTTATATCTTTTTATCAAAAATAAAATTTTATCTTAATAATTTATATAACAAAAATTAACATTAGAAATCAGTATACTATCATTAAAAATCAACACATAAACAAAACTATAATTTTAATTAAAATAAATGAACTTAAGGCATTTAAAATATTTCGTGTTATAAAATATAGGACGTTGGAAGATAACAATGGCGTCTATAGTCTATGAGTTGTTATGACGTCATCTTGGGGGGGTATGATTTTGTCCTGTAAGCTACATTTAGAGAGGGTTAAACATGGATGACCCACTCCATTGCTGATAACACTGACGCACTTTCTCTGCACTCTTTTTTGTTTATTAAGATTTATTAAAAATTATACAGATTTCATTTTTTTAATTTTTAAATTAATATTGTTTTATATTTTTATGATTTCTAATAAATTTTAGTTCATAATAAAATAATATATTAAAAATTTGTATCAATAACATTTCTCTAACAAAATTAAAATTACGAAATATATAATATTTACTAACCACTGCAACTGGATGATCGTTTTAAAGTATATAGATTACGACAGTTCATAAATCTATTTAATATAAAGTAAATCATAAAAATAAAATTAAAAAAATTGAAATTTAATTTTTTATTAATTGGATCAAATTTTACATTTTATTTTTGAAATGATATAATTTAATTCAAACTAAACGTATGTATGTATATATATATATATATTATAATTTTATTTATAAAATTAGCACATCGTTTGTATTTATATAATTACATATTTGTGAAATTATAATATTTAGTTTTTTTTGTTTTGATTTTAAAATTGTATTTCATTATTATTTTTTGAAGTATATTTTATATTTTAAGTAAAAATAAAAATTTAAAGTAATTCGAGGTATCCAGTATTACTTAATGTTTTCATACACATATACAGGGCCACTTATAAAAACGACAATATCTTTATCAGTTTTGTCGACCACTTAGGATACTAATTAAAATTTTAAAATATAAAATTAATATTAGTCATACTTCTTTTAGCAAATTTTTAAATATTTTTATTTTGAATTTTTTAAGTATCAACTACCATTGACACAATAATAGTTAACAAAACCAATATACTCTATCAAGCAATCATGCTTTCAATAGGTTTGAAGCTCCCACTCGACGATGAAATTTACTTGTAAAAAATTAATTTGTCAACTGAATTATGATAGAAACTACTACTCTATTCAATTACACTTGCATTAGAAGTCTATTCTCAGCACTATCATGATGCAAACTACCAGGTGTAACTCTAATTTCAATCCCCACCTAAAAAGTTCACTCTTATGGAGATTTTACACATAGACATGATAAATGTTACGTGTAAGTTAAATATACTTTTCCCTTTTCAAATCTATTTTCATTTGATCGATGAAGCCTCCTTCTTCATGTATTGTATTTTAAAGATCGAGTTCAATTTATATTTTTCAATGATAAATTATATTTTATCTCTTTGAATTGTTATATACTAGATTACAATTTTTTAAATTTATTTATATTTACTAATTACTCATATTTTCTTTGTTTTCATATAGATACCGTATTTACTTATTTATTCTTTGTAACTATAAACCAAGGTTTTCGATAGGAAGAAAAACAATCCAATAAAACTGTCATAGTTGATTTTATTTTATCAAAGTGAAATCTATTATTGTTTTTTCTTTTATGAATATTATAAAATTTGTGGATCAATTATTTGGTATTTACAATTTAAAAATAATCTTATAATAATTAAAAAACTATGATGACATTCATATGGGCCATTTCCTGTGAGCGGTGTGGTGTGACTAAGAGGGATGAGGAGACAAAAGCTGAAGGACAGAGACCAGAAAGGACGAAGGCATCACGAGAAAAAGGAATAACTTAATGGCTTCTTCGAGAATCAGAAGTTTTGGTTTGTAAATCCAAAATGTTCAGTACTTAGATATTTTGTCTTCTTCACAAACATCACACTCCTAATTACCCCATTCACAGCTTGGATGGTTCTTTCTATCAGTCACTTCCTTTTGTTGTTGCATGGGTAACAAATACTTTACGTTGACATGGCATACACACACATATATATATATATATATATATATAGTCTTTATCGTATGCAATAACCCTAAGGTCCTAAGTTTTTTTCATGTCTATTATATTGCGTGTGAGTGTGTGTATGTTATTACTTTTTATATCATCAAAATACTAGAATTTCTTTGTGGATCACAAGTACCTCAATGATATGACGTATATGTAGTAAGAGCTCTTTACTCTTTATTGTATGCCTTCACCCTAACACCTTAAGCTATTTTCATGACTGTTGCGTGGGTATATGTCTATGGTTTTTTTTTACACCACCAAAATACTTCTTTTTTTTAAAAAAAAAATATTATATATATATATATATATATATATATGTGTGTGTAATATGTTAGCACTATTTTTTTAATAAAGTGTTTTTTTTTAAATGAGAGTACTTCTATTAGTTAATTTTATTTTAGTAATTATATATATATTAAGAAATAAAATTGTAATTTAATATGAATTTAAATTATAAATTTTGATAACTTATTTATAATTAAAAAATGTATGGTTTTATTTAATATAATAAAATATTTACTAATCATAATTATAATATATTTTCTAAATTTATTAAATTTAAAAATAATTACATAATATATTTTATTTATTTATTTAAACATTTTATTTTAATTAATAAATATAAAATTAACAACTAATATTTTGGATGGAGAGAAAGTCCAGAAAAAATCGATACAGATTTTACGTAAACTCTCTTATATTATTAACTAGAGTTTGTAGCATTCACCGTATGAATTCGCTTTCGTACTCCAAAGTAATTTCCTGTTGGACCTTATTTTGTCGTGCGTACCAAACAATCCTGCAAAGTCAGTTCCAAATCAATGGGATTGGGATCAATGCTGTGCTAAAAGTGTTTAAGATATTTAATGAATAATCAATTAAAACTCTATGTGGGTTTGTACTGATTAATGCAACTATTTATTATTTTTGTCTAAACCTCGTTATGTGGATCCATACATTCACTGCATTTGACTGTATCTTAACTAACCACCTATTTTAAAGTAGATACTAGATGTATAATTATAATACTAAGTGTATAGACAAATAAAAATCTGAATTCTTTCTAAAACTATTAAAAAGCATATTTTAATGTTTATTTTTTAATTTGATACATTCATTGAAAATGCCAATCTTTCATTGGTAAATTTTATTCAATATTTAAAACCGACTGCATGTTTTAAAAACAGAAAAGTGGGTCCCAGGCGAGATCTGAAACTACCAAGCACGAGTAATTTGAATTCAAGTCATTAATACTAATTAGAGATAGAATTAGTTATAACATTAAATTACTAAAGGTTAATAGAAAATATTAACATTAATTTGAATTTAAGCCATTAATACTTACTGAAATTTATTATTCTTTTTATTAAAATAGGGAATACATTTTAATATATTGAATAACAGTAAAAAGAAAGAATAAATGTAAAAACGGAGGAATGAAAGGTGGCAAAGGGGCACGATACTGAGAAAAAAAGCCAAAACTGAAAACAGCACCGCTATTTTATTCCCGCAGAGACTGAAACATGAACGCATCCACAGTCCGAGGTTCACACATCACAAATTCAAATACAATACAAGTGTTGTTGCTTCATCTTATTCTTCCATTTTTTTTATATATATATGTAATGTGTTTGGGGTTTTGGATGCTGAGTGTAGAGAGAAAAGGATCATCAATGCAGAGGCGTAGGACGGTTCCATTGAGCATGCTTAGGAGGTTCCTCGCTGCTGTTATATTCTCAATAGCTATCACTTCTCTCTTCTTTGTTCATGTCCATGTCTCTCCATCCCCCACTGATCACAAGTTCAATGACAAGATCCCTTCGGTTTGTTTCTTCTCTGTTTTCTTGTTCTGTATTTATTTTTTTTTTGGGCAGAACGAAAAACCAAGTTTTTTAGGGCTCTCATTGTTACTTTAGTGGTTCTGGAAAATTCCGTGATCTTCTCCAACTGTTTTTCTCGTGTACCGGATTTTATGTTTTATTTTTTTCCAATTTTGTTCTGGGTTTAATGATATTGCGCTTACAATGAGTCTATTTTGCGGTTCTATTTGAAAAACTTCGATTTTCAGTGTGGTTTTGACTTCAACTAGATTGCCCATTAGAGCATTTCAATATGGGAAGCGTGGGAGTTTCGGTTTCTGCTTTTCTGTAGTTTTTTTTTATCGGATTTTTTTTTTTGGGAAAATTTGATGTTGATAATTGATGGCTCATTACTGATCAGAATTCCATTTCCTGGTTTTAACATTTTTTGTGAATATCTAAATTTGATAGTTTCACGACCCGCAAAGCTGGACTCAAGAGCTCGCTCCGCCCCATCTATCCATGGCTCCAATCTCTGTTTCCAAGGTTTTGTACTTCTAATCATTACTCCCTTAGAACTGATTTGTTGATTTGTCTGTTTGGATGCTGAGAATGTGACAAGAAATGAAATGAAATGAAATCCACTGGGTATTGGGTAGTAATCCCAGTATATATATGTGAAAGAGTGATATTTTATGCAGCAGAGATATATCTTACTCATTTCACTTGCTAATTGTTAGAATAGAAAACTATACTAACCGCAAAAATGTATTTCTATTCTTTAGTTTCCTTCCTTCTGTTCCTGTCAACTCCGGGGGGGCGTTTCTTCTTTGCCAGTTGCATGTCCTTTGGTTCTGTTCACTACTGAGTTGGACTTTCTGTTTATTTGGTTTTAGTGCTTGTCAGCCATGTTGGGGTGTCATGTATCTTGGCAGATGTGTTTTAAATTATGCAAAGCAATTATGTACCTTGTTTCTGTTTTCATTCCTTTAGTTTTGCAGTTGAATGATTCAAGATGGGATTTGGACTACGACAAACTGTGGAAGCCTCCACCAAATCATGGGTTTATACCCTGTACAAATCCTACTCCTAATTACACAAGTAAGAAACTTGAACTTGTATTGGAAGTTGTAAGTGTGATTTTTTTCCTAGTTCTTCGTTGAAGCATCAACTGTTTGTCCAGCTCCTGCAAAGTCACGGGGTTACCTTTCGGTTCATACAAATGGTGGGCTAAACCAAATGCGTGCTGGGGTATGGGTTCCGTCTCTTTAAATTGCTCTCATATTAAATACTTTAGTTTTAGAGTCAACTATTCAGCTTATTAAATGCTGAATTTTTTTATCTTACTATTGTATTGTTGTGAGATGTTTGAAAATTCTGCATGAGTTTAGTTGCTGATATACAGCCACACGTTACTTCAAGGTGAAATGTTAGTTTGGTAAAATGCCTGATTGATGACAAAATTTAGAATTTAGAGAAGACCATCAACCAATATATTTGTCACTTTTGGATGTTCTTTATTGATGTATTGCTTTAAGCTGAAAGTTTGTTTCCTCGACTACAGATATGTGATATGGTAGCTATAGCTCGTATCATAAATGCCACTCTTGTAATTCCAGAACTTGATAAAAACTCATTTTGGCATGATACTAGGTAACTTTGAATTCTGTTTTTTTCTTTTTCTATTATAATTCTATCTTTTGGACCTAAGATAATTAAATTCTAGTCTTTTGTTTGATTTGCAGCAATTTTTCTGACATCTTTGATGAAGAGTGGTTTATTAGTTCTCTAGCTAATGATATAAAAATCATTAAGAAGCTTCCCAAAAAACATGTTAATGCTACCAGAATCGTCATGCAATTCAAAAGTTGGTCTGGTATGGATTACTATGAGAATGAGATTGCTGCCTTGTGGGATAATTTCAAAGTATGTAGCCTGGTTGAAATTGTTTCTTGCATACATTACAATGTTACTATCCATTTACTAACATAGCGTACCACCATCTTATTATTGATAACCTCTAAAGGTAATTCGAGCTTCCAAATCTGATTCTCGGTTAGCAAATAACAATCTACCTCCAGATATTCAGAAGCTTCGCTGCCGTGCTTGTTATGAAGCTCTCCGTTTCTCTCCTCACATTGAAAAAATGGGAAAAGTAAGTAAATGTTAACACTTATTGTCTTCTTAGGTTGCTTTCTCATACTCTATCCATTACTTTAGAAGTTTTTTGAATCCTTGTAGATATTGGTGGAGAGGATGAGGTCATTTGGCCCTTATATTGCATTACATTTACGTTATGAGAAGGATATGCTTGCTTTTAGTGGGTGCACACATGAACTATCTACAGCCGAGTCTGAAGAGCTACGGATCATCAGGTATTGATGCTTGAAAATGATTGGTTAAATCTCCTGTCTTTTACCGATATCGAATGTATGAAAATTATGCTCCTGCGCCAAATTTGTAGAGAGAATACTACTTATTGGAAAAGAAAGTATATTAATCCCATAGAAGAGAGATCCAAAGGGTTTTGCCCTTTAACTCCGAAGGAAGTTGGAATTTTTCTTAATGCTCTTGGATACCCATCAAAGACTCCAATATATATTGCTGCTGGGGAGATATATGGGGGTGAGTCCCATATGAATGACCTGCGATCCCGCTATCCATTGTTATTGGGCAAGGTAAGCAATTACAATACTTAGTTGCTGTATGTTGAAGTTTGATACAGTCAGTATTTTCAATATCTCTTCAAGATGGACCCATAACTTTAGATTTAGTAAGTATTTAATATATTATGTTGAAGTTTGATAAAGTCAGTATTTTCAATATCTCTTCAAGATGGACCCATAACTTTTGATTTAGTAAGTATTTAATATATTAACACATTGGGTGACAATAAGGTTCGATGGGAAAGGTTTACTTCGTCTCATCCACTACACGATGACATCATACTCGCGTCTACACTTTTTAAATTGGAAACAAAGCAAATTCAAAGGGGTTAAATGTTTGGAGATGGAAAACCTATCCCTAAAGAAATAAAGAGAAGAGATGCCTTATTTATTTAAATGCATGAGGAGCTTTACATCATAAGCCAGATTCTCTATTAACTAATCATAGAGATATGGTTAGTGACATTTTGCGTTGATCCAACTCTTTTTTCAGTTAAATCATTTAGGTAAAGCCATGTTTTCTATTAAAGGTTTCTTTTATCTAAAAAGAAAGTTCTATCTAGGGCTGTTGCTGAGTTTTAGGCACTTCTAAATTATGAGTAATAACCGTCAACTGAGAATGCAATGATATCATGTTGATTAACCTCCCTCTGATTAATTTCAGGAAAAGTTGGCATCCATTGAGGAGCTTGAACCCTTTTCTAATCATGCATCTCAAATGGCTGCTCTTGACTATATTGTATCTGTTGAAAGTGATGTATTTGTACATTCTTACCCTGGGAACATGGCAAAGGCTGTTGAAGGTCATCGTCGTTTTCTTGGGAGTGGAAGAACAATATCTCCAGATAGGTAAAACGCTCTTACTCAAATCAAGTTTTACTTTAAAAATTTTTTTGTAATGTTTCCTTTTCCATCTCATTACAAACTGTTATGCTTGCTTCTTTTATCAGGAAAGCCCTTGTTCGTCTGTTTGATAAGCTGGCAAATGGATCAATGACTGAAGGGAAAACACTGTCCAGTAAAATTAATGATCTCCACAAAAGACGGTATGTGAACAGAGAAGCATTAATGTACACACACTTTTTTTTTCCTGTTAACTTGAAGTTCCTCATATGATTTTGTAATTGACTTCCTACATCTCCCATACATTATGGCCCAATCATTTTTTAACATACCATTATCTTTGTTGTTACATTTTTATTGAATGAATTTGATCCTTACTGGCTTCACAACCTAGGCTAACTCGATCTATCTCAAGCTTTATAGGCCGTTTGCACCAGTGATAGTTGTTGTGACTATTAGCTATAGCTTGACAGAATATGATCTCTATTGTCTGGGAATTGTCATCAGTTTTCAATTTTCATTACATTGGATGAACGTTTTTTGGGGTGTTCTCAATTTTGATAATATACTGATAAAAAAAACATATATTTATTAGACTGTGTTTATCATGTGTTGAGCAGGCTTGGCTTCTTTAGGAAGAGAAAAGGACCCGTTTCTGGAACAAAGGGGTTGGACAGGTTTCGCTCAGAAGAAACATTCTATGCAAATCCTTTACCTGATTGTTTATGTCTGACAGAATCACTCTATAAACACCTCTCACGTTAGATAGACCAGATAAAGCAAGGCTTTTTCCTTGAATAGATCAATATTGGTGAAAGGACACATGCATCCTCCTTTTACCAACGTTTTAACACAAGTTCAGCTGCAAGGTGTTAAAAAGGCCTGTTGGCATAGTGTATATATCGATGACAAAAAAATGAAGTACAGTAGAAAGGAAAAGGAGGGGTAGAGGAAAAAAAAAAAAAAAGACGCGGGATTTCATATACAAAGTGAGTATGACAACCTGAGGTTCTTGAGTATGATGGGGCTTTTGAAAGGCATGATTCATTCATTCTTTTAGTAACATTTTACTTATTTATGTAAAGCTTTTAGATTGGGTATGGCCAGGGACTGAAATCACACCCATTAATGCAATTCTTTTTCTTTTTTTTTTTTGTGAAATTCATTATGGAGTATTATAATTTTTTTTTATTAATCCAACGATAGTTCCTTTTTTTTAATCCTAAGCGTATTTTATTTTATTCCTGTCATATGTTTGTTGTCCTGCCCACACTGACCAAAGGTTGGTATTCCTTCACTTTGAACGATACACTTAACAAATATTTGGCCAGGCGCACGCTTTTCCATTCTTTTTTAACTTTACAAAAACGGATTTCCATTGCACACAAATAATTTCTGCCTTCCAATTCCATTGCTAATCACTAGTTTATAATAAGTAAAAAAACAAAAATCATTAATATTATTTGTAAAATTATCATTCTAATGAAATTACTTCAACTCATCTATCACTGTAATCTAATTGCCGCAACAGCATCGACCAGATGGATAAATCAATCATAATGATTTTGTGGCGATAACATTAATGCCACCCATGAAGGGCCTCAAGGGCTGAGGGATAAGGACAGATCCATCTTCTTGTTGGTAATTCTCAAGCAAACATATAATCATCCGTGGTACTGCACAAGCTGTTGCATTTAATGTGTGAACAAACTGTGGTGGAGCAAGATTGCTTTTAGATTTTTTTCCACTTGTTACTGCTGCTTCTGATGGACGATACCGTATTCCCAATCGACGGCTCTGATAGTCTGTGCAATTTGACGCGCTTGAGATCTGTCACAATATCACATGTTAGGAGGAAAGAAGGCTCAGCAAATTATAGAGAGCCACATGTTTCATGCACAAGGTAATACCAGCAAGTTGCTTTTTACAAATTGAAGTTGCTCTTAGTACAAGAAACAGCAATTCTTGCATAAGCACAATACCTTTAGGCACAATCAATCAAAATTTAAAAGCTGAAGACATTTTAAAATAAAGCAAATGCTAACAAATGCCCATAGAGTATTGATCAAGGAATTAAAAGTAAAAGTATTTTATTAAAAAATGTAAAAATGCACTCATTTTCAGATTTTTAATGCATTTTTTACGTGATTTTAAATAAAACTTACTATTTATTAATTCCTTAACTATTGGTTAAGAAGACCCTTAAAATAAGAATAAAGTCTGTATTGAGGTCTATGTCAAAATTATTTTAACATTATCTTGAGCTTTTGATTAGTCATCCTTTTAATTATAGGCACTGTACTCAAACAAGAATTATTCATGCAAGCAACCAGTAATCTCAGCCCAAGGCCCATAGAAAGTGTGGAGAGATGTATCTCACAAGATTGAAAGGGAAAGAGTTGTAGCAGTACCTCACCAAACCGTTCTAATCCAGGCATCCATGCCTCTATATCAAATTTACGATAAGCAGGTGCACCTAAATCTTCAGAGGCCATATCCAAAGTTCTGCAGAAAAACTCAAGTTATAATGAACCGTAATGGAATCAAGTTAAAATAATGAAGAAAGGATGTACTGAATACTATGTAGTAAGTATTACTTGAAATGTAATCCTAGGGATGAAAAAATGTCTTCTTCAATTTGAATAAGCTCTTCATGGTAACTTTCACTCTCTTCTGGGCGGCAGAAAATAAACATTTCGACCTTACTGAACTGGTGAACTCGGTAAAGACCCCTGCTCAGTATTAATTATGATGAGAAGAGTTAGAAGAACCGGATATTTATAAACATGAATATTAGTGTGTAGTATAAGACATTAAGAAAATAGGAACTGTAACTAGTTAAATAAATTTAGTCCAATATATGCAACTAAAGAAGTATTCAAATTCTCCCATATATTAAAGGTTGAATATTATTAAAGATTTTAATCCGTGGTCAAATCAATAGCAAGGAACATGGAAGGAATGAAAATGCTTTAACTAATTACCTAGTTGCAGCGCCAGCAGAACCTGCCTCGGTACGGAAACAATGAGAAAATGCCACATATTTTAAAGGTAACAAAGTGTCAGCAAGTATAGAATCCATATGGAGGCCCCCAACAGGAATCTCTGCTGTGCCGATGAGGCATTGGTCACTGTCATCGATGGAATAAATCTGTTCAACGTTCGCAAGAAACATCAACAGAAGCCATGAACTTCAATCATCAAATTAAAAATGAAATAGAAGGATTTTAGGGGAAAACAATGATATTACAAAGCTTTGCATCATCAAACAAGGTTGAGTGCTATCATGATAATCACTAAAAGACCAACCAACTTGTAGTTCTCAGGTCTGGCAACATATAAAACAAGATGAAGATGGAAAGGCAAAAAGGGCACATGTTCTTTTGCCAACAGGTAAGCTGTTTCAGTCAAAATAATTGATTGCCAAAACAAGTTTGTCATCAGCTATGTTATTTTATGTCCATGATCATGAAGCCAACAATAGTTTAATGGCATATAGTGAGATAGAAGGAAGTGTTTAAGAGATACCCATTCACAAACCTGGGTATTATTTGCACGAGGTTGGAATCCACATTTTTCAACAATTGAGGACCGCACAATCTCAGGAGTTGTTAATGGAGTAAAGCCTCTCTTCATCACTTCTGAGAGTGTCCAATTTACAAGGGCCATCTCTAACAAAACTGCTTCATTTTTCAGGTAGTAAAATTTTGACCCACTGACCTGTGAAGCAGGTTGTTAGATGCACATCTGAGACAAAACTGAAGTCAAATGCCAATTATTTTCTATTTCTAATTTTGAAGATCTAAACTTCCACATATTGTTTTAAGAAAAAAAGGTATAAATTACTATCAAGTTAGCACTCAGAGTGAGGACATCCAATATTTTATACTAGAGCAGTGATAAAGATGAAGCATTTAATAACATAAAAGTTCAAGACTTCATCAACCTAATATAAAATACAAAACCATCCATGGCTATTTTCACACGAGTTAATATGCTGCTTCCAAGGCAACACCATGTCATGTTCACAGTAAAACATTTCACCTTAACTTGTTGCCACATATTATTAACCTATGCCTCAAAATAACACTAGAAATTGCCAAGATGCTTTAATGCCATAAATTAATTATAGTATACCTCAGCAGCTGCATCAAAATCAAAGAGATCAAGTTCATTTCCAAGTTGAAGATGATCCTTGACAGGAAAGCTAAATTTGGGAGAGCTGCCAACCTAAAAAGTCACAAATTCAAATAAATTAATATTTGAGGTAAAGAAATTGATGCATGAAGAAGATCAACAACCAAACTTTTTCCTCGAGAAGAAAAAAGCAAGGGAATTGAAATGATTGAAATACCATCTTCCTTATGGTGGAGCAATCCTCCCCTCCTATTGGAACATCTGGATGAGTCATGTTTGGTATACACTGCGCTTCCTGCTGAAGCTTATCATGAAGCTTCACCAGGTCTTCTTCCAAAGCAGTAAGTCCCTCCTTCAAATTCTTCCCTGCAAGCAAAATGTTACATATTTTATGAATGTACTTGTAAGGGAAAAAAGGAGAGCAAAGCCAGTTGGGTGAAAAATTATGCCAAGAGCACCTTCCTCGATTAGTCTCTGACGCTCAGATGGTTCTAGTTTTCCTTTCATCTTGCTCGCTACCGCATTTCTTTCTCCACGAACCCTCTCAACTTCCTGCTATCTGTAAGGAACAAATTAGCTAAGCCATTGAGAACAAAGTTGGGGCATTACTCCAATACCCATCTTCTTTTCAAGGGTATGATAGCCATCAAGCATTTCATTGATGGTTAGTTGGTTATATTTAACATAATTTTAAACATTCTCTATGAAATAAGCATTCCACAAATGCTTCACAAATTCACCCTGCGTGCAGTACCCCATCAGGTTGCCATAACAATTCCCCAAATTTTTTTTCCCACTATTGTTCTTGTGTGTAACAGAGAAATAGCATCCATTCATTAATAAAAAACAAAAACAAAAAATATGGAATACATACTACATTTCAATTTATTCGGAAGTGAATATGAAAAGGGTAGAAAAAATTGAAGAGAAACATAACCTTTTGAAGACTAAACATTTCATCATAAAGTTGGAGGACGAGGTCTAAATTAGCGTCAGAGTTACGGTTCCTTATGTTGGTGGCAACAGCTTCCTTGTTTTCCTTTATCCACTTGAAGTCTATAGTGGCTTTCCACTGAGGCTTTACGCCTACATCATCATCACAAACAAAATCACTTTTTATTCTTCTGAGAAGTGGAAACGAAAGTGAAAGAGAAAAATGAGAAAAGGGGTTGACCCTGCTCATCAGAGGCTTTAGTTGTTTGGATGGTGGCAGAAGAAGAGAGAGCTTTGATGGGGTAACGTGGCAATGGAGATTTCCGAAAATGAAGGGTTGGAATTTTGAATACGAAACGTGAGGAAGAACAAGTGGGAATTGGAACAAGTTTGAGACTTTCGAATGTTGTCCCGTTCAGACAACCCATCTATGCTTTCTAGTGTCAGTGGCAGAGCCTTCAGCTCCGTTTATCCTTAGTTCGTGTAAACAAATGAATACTATGTGCAAAGTATTAAAACTCAAACCAAGTCGTCGTTTTATTATGGTCGTCAAAAGAAAATAATGAAAAAGAAGAAAATTTATTAAAATATAATGTTTTAGAAAAAAAAATTATAGAAATATAAAAAAAATAAACTAAATATTTTAATTATTTTTAAAAAAATTATCATTCATGAATTTTAATTTTAAAATTTTTTAATATATTTTTAAAAAATTGTCATTTTGAGACTTTTTAACTTTTCTTTATTTTATCTTTAAATTTTTATACTTGTATTTTTTAATTTAATATTTTTATATTTTTTAAAAACTTTAATATTTTAGTATATATTATTTTAAAATATTATATATATAATTATAAAGCCAAAAATTTTATCTCGTTTAAAAATGAAAAATAAAAAATATATAAAGAAAAAATTATAAATTTATTTTTTAAAATTATGTTTGCATTAAAATAAGGATATTTCAATTTTTAAATTTAAAGAATTTAAATAATTTAAAGATTAATTTAATAAATAAAATATTGTTTTAATAATAAGTTATAAATATTTTATTATTCAAAGTTGAATGAAAAAAATTAAATATTAAGACGATTAAAAATGTTAATTATCTTCTTCACTTCGTTTCCCTTCTATCATATTTCCTACTTCTCTTACATTTCACTTTCTCATTCTTCACATTTTCTTCCCATAGCATTTTGCAACAAATATGGAGGCATATCGGCATCATATGTCATAGCATTTTGTGTCTTGCTGTGGGCAAAAATTACTATTGTTATTATCATCTCGCATCTCATCTAAGCACCAATTTAATCTTTTTTTCGTAGTCATTAAAATAAATAACACAATTCAGCTATTTCAAAAGTTACCAACCTCCTTAAAATTTGATCTGTATAAATCCGAATAATCCACCCGATCAACAACGGATATTAATAAATATCGGATAAGTAATGTAGATGAATAGTAAAATTGAGTGTACTTTCTATATTTTAAATGTGTAGATGAAGATTTATTGCTATATTGACACTACCCGTGGGTACTGATTTCATCCCTGTGCAAGTCATTTTCTATTCTCAAACTTTTAATAAAGCCCAGTATAGAGATTAAGGAAAAATAATAATATTTTAACAATAGTAACTTTTATTGAATTTTTTTAAGCCCAGCAGCATAAAACCCAACCGAATTAATCGACCGACTAATTAGGCTACCCGATAAACTGAATCCGAATTATCAATTGGGTAATTTTTTAAGTAATTCGGTTAATTATAATTAACTAATTTTACACCTGAACCAACCCAAAATCGAAAGGACTGACTTTCACTAGGACAATTACTATAACGACTTGAAGAGATGTATGATTGAGTTGGACTGTAAGAATTATATAAAAATAGACTACACATTTCAACATAAAAAATTTATATGCAATATAATAATTGATTTACAAGTAAATAAAATGACAAAAACTAACTTACCTAATAAAAAACAATAACTTAAAACTAATACTAAATATTTTTTATTATCAAATAATTATAAATTTTTATCCATAAATTTACTCATATTATTCATTTATTTCTAGTTTTGAAGCTATCCAATCTGATTAACTAGTTCAAATATCTTTTTTAACACCGATATTAATAAGTTAAAAATAGTTTGATTGATTAAGAGTTTCTTTTTGAGCATCAATCCTAACCTCCGTTCATCATAATTGAAATTTTGTTCTAATAAATTTACATTAAGTGCTTGAATGAAATTTTAGGTATAGAGAAGGAGGAGGAGAAGAGTATACAATTCATTCAGAATCAACATCATGGTCAACTGACTAAGATGGTCAGCACAAGAATTTCCTTCTCTACAAGGACATTGGAGTTTGACACCTTTAAGCAAAAGTAATTCAACTTTGATGGCCTTAATTATGGATAAGTAATGATGAGACCTTTATAAATTGGATTGAAAAGACAAAGGAAAAATTGAGTCTACTTTGATAATGGAGGAGTTTCCTTCGAGTGGTTTGGCTAGCTCTATGCTACACCAAACTCCCTAGAGCTTAGATAGGATTGAAGAGCGTATTCTTAGATTTGTTGAAAAAGTAACTAAAAAAAAATCCTAAGTTATTTCTAATAATGTCATTGCAAGCAGCCTACCCAAAATCTGCTTCAGAGAACCATCTAACATGATCAAGAGGAAAAGTCCAACCAATGAAAATCTCCTCGTAACTTGCATAAGAGTTTTAGAAAGAGAATTCCTAATAAAATTAAAGAGATTATGCAAACTAATAGATAAAGAAGTCTCAACATTAGATGTACCCTTAAAAATTAAATTACATCTATCTTTCCATAATAATCAACAATAAATAAGAAAAATAAGACATCAATTATTATTATCTCTTTGAAATACTAAAAATTACTAACTAGTCATTGGGCTAGACTCAGGTTAAAAAAAATAATAAATCTTAAAGTTAAAAAAAAGAGTATTTCAACTACAACTAACTACATCACAGTCTTTAATGACAAGCATGATTGATTATAAGCTGATTACATTTAGGACAGAGATTATCACTTGTTACTTCTTCTATATCTCTTTTCAACAGTCAAGAACTTACCATGAGACAGATCTCACCTGAAAGTCTAAAAACATTTTATATAAGTAAACTTAAAATAAGTAAAAGAATAATATTAATCAATACATCATTTAGTTCTTGAAATATCTTTTAGCCAAGTAAAAGCTTGATCGTATTTTGATTTAACCAAATGATTTAGAGCCTGTTTGAATTGGCGTTGAAAATATCGTCCACAATGACTATTAATTTTATATTTACAAAAATCAAAATACTTTAAACGGCATCGATAAATTTTCAATTCTAACTAAATCAATTTAGCCATTCCACAAACAAGCTGTTACTAGTTGAAGTATTAACAAAATACCTAAATGCAAATGCTAGAGGTTCCACTCTCGGGATCGTTTAGTCCAGTGACACGAGTTGAAGTAGAGAATGCAAATGTGATAGATTTAAGCAGAATCAACACGATAGGAAACGACATTTAGCAATGGAAGCATACATATTCAAACTCAAGCAGTTCGTATAGTTAGCCAAAATTTCTTATTAAACCAATGTGTAACATAGAACATCGCCCAAAGGGTTGAGAGTTTATCTCTGCAGAATTTTATGCGTGAAGCAGAATAGCAATTTTAAATGTGACAGGAACAATTGAATTGGTTGACGATTTCAGACAAGCGCCGCCTAGAGCGGTCCTGGGAATGTTCCATTCTCTCTTTGCTCATTCCATCTGTCAATCTGGTGCATAGACAAATGCATTAAAAACAGATTGTTAGTTCATGAATGCAAGTTTTAGATAGTAGCAGAAGAAAACGCACGAGTTAATGCAGGATAGAGATGATTATTTTTTTGTAAAATGAACAAAGGAGAAAACATGACAATACAATACCAAAATTGTATTTCATCTGATTGTAACTGTTAAGGAAAAAAAATATTCATCAGATATCCATTTAACAAAATAGGACAATTAAAGGATGTTGAACTCTAAAGCCAGGTAATTCACTTTTTGGTCAATTTCTAAACAAGGTCAAGATCTTAAACTCAAGGCAGGATATTCAACAAGCAGTAGAGTTATACACACTAGTCCTGACAACCAAGTACAGCTAACATGAATTGCTTCAGACATTAATGTTCTCCATTACTTGCTTAATATTTAAAACGGCGAAACCGAATAAAAAGCACCACATATTGTTCAGATATGGCTTGATTAAATAAGGTGCTACTGCTAATTATTTCTATAGGTTGAAGATCATCATAGGGGATTAACAATTGCTTGGTCAGGAACTGAAACACAACTTTTCCCAGAATAAACTGTATGCAAGTGGTTGAGCCACGTGTTGACAGGTTGGCAACAGTGTAACATGATATAGATGATAAAGAGCTGAGCAGGCAGAAGTCAATTAAGTGTGCAAAACCGTAAGAGTCCAATGCCCTATGCATCTATTCATGTTCGGGAACATGCACCACAAAGTATCATAGAGAATTCCCTTCCAATAGAGCATCTTGGAGACAGTTTTAGTACACAAGGAGCAATTGACTTAAAACAATTATATCATTATTAAGAGTAGAAGATACAACTTAATTTCAATGTCCACTAAGGCCATAATGGAATAGATATATGGGCAGAACCATTTAGCATGAAAAAATGTCAATAAACCAATTTGATGGACAAAAGGATCCTAATGCTTCTGGTTAGCAGACAATCAATAACATTCACCAGGGCAAAGAGAACGATAACATACCCATTCACCAGGGCAAAGAGAACGATAATATTTTGCAAACTTGTCACATTCTGGGGCACCTTCTCCCTTTGCAGCTACACATCTACACAATAGTTTTGAAAGTTAAAATAAACATCAAATCTTCATATTGTAAGAGCAACAAGCTTGATAAAACCAAAAGCCCGGGATGTCTCACCTGTGATATTCAATGTATCGAGTAAAGCAATGCCTTGTTTGATTTGTAGTTGGAAAACGAAAATCTGCTGGAGCAGTCTCAAGCTGAAAATCAACAGCACAAATATGAATAGAAAAAGAAAGTAGGAGCATGTTTATGATGCAATCAAATAAACATCATGGACCAACTCTCCTAAGCAATAAAGTGAAGTCTCATGACCGGTTTAGCAGTTCTAGAAGAATAGATTGTATCAAGTTAAATAAAAAGTAAAAACAACCTTAATTTGCGGGGTCTCTTCTGCCACATGTTGATCACCAACATTTTCTTCTTCAGTATTCCCACTACTTTGCTCTGCTGTTGCATCATTGCTCACTTCAGAAGCATGAGAGGTGGGATTGATGCTTTGTTCAGCAGGAGGAGTGACTTCACTGCTTTCCTCAGCAACAACTGTGGGTGTTTCTTCCACAGTTTTCTCAACTGCAGCTTCCTCAGAAGCAATATCCTTTGGGTTTTCAACTTCTTTGACTTCAACAGGACTCACACCATTATCAGCTTTATCCTCTTTCTCTTTCACAAAATATTGCTGCAAGCCAAACACATTTATCTCATGCCATATAACAATCACCAAGGATCCAATCCTTTGACAATTAGGCGATTCAATTCAAAAGATAAGACAATGCTCCAAACATGGATGGTTAATTAAGTGAACACCCAAATCTTATTCTGCCCTTCTCCAAAGGGAATCAATTATTAGGTAGACACTATCGCTGATTCCATTATACGAAAACCAAGATCCATGCTACCTTGAAAATTAAATTTAATTTCAGAAAAAAAAAAAAAAGAGTACCTCAGCTAGAGTCGGGGATTTATCAGCAGCTTCCGCCATTGATGAGGAAGAGAGAGACGAAAAGTGGAAATTGGATTTTAGCTATGAGCACCTCAAAACGGTAATGGTAAATTAATAAAATGCAGAATCTCGATTGTTTTATTTATTTATTTATTTATGATGTTTTATTTACTGTGCACAGCTCGCATTGCATATTACTAGAAGCCAGTAGAATACGGTGCTCCCGCTGGGGAAATTGAGTTAAAATATTAAATTTAATTTTTCATAAATAAGTTCAACAATTTCAGCATGTAAGTATTTTATATTATAATTAAATGTATAATTTCAGTTTACTTAAATACATAAACATAATAATTTAAATAAAATAAATTATATAATATTTAAACCAACTCATTTATAATATTCAAAATCTAATAAAGTGATAATATAATAATAAAATATCTTAGAATATTGACATATTTATCTTTGTAATGTATGCTTTAAACACAAACTTAATTACGTAGAATCTCATGTCAATTTAATACTTAACATGGAAATTGTAAATGTAGTTAACTTATAATAAGACAAAAAGTAATGTAATAAGAGTTCAAAAATAGTGTTTAAATTAATTAACTTAAAATCAATATTATTCACTCAATATGTTAATGTTAAGTACTCCACTTATAATTAATTATTGTAACAAATAATAAGTGGTTCGTGTTAGATCAAGATTGCCTCTCTAATCATGCGAGGCTTTTTCGCTGTGAAAGGGGCAAATTGAAAAATAATTTTTTAAAATTGAATTTAAATACAAATATATATATATATATATATATATATATATATATAGTTTAAAGTCATTTTTAACATTTTATTTTAATTATAATACTTATTTTTGTAATCGTTCATATTAAAGATAATATTTAAAAATAAGTACATCTTACGTTGCAGGGTTGTGATTGAAGTTTTTGAAAGAAATTTTTTAGATTTTTGGTTGATCACCTTAATCTTAATAAAATAAGTAATAAGAATTTTTAATTGTTTTTCGAAAACTTTATTGAAAATTTTTTTATGTAAAACCCAAGTCATTTAATAATGAATTTTTTAACAACTTCAAATATTGAATCATGTGATAGAAAATCATCCTTGCAGTAGATTTGGATAGATGAGTTTGTAAAGGAAGGAGATGGGGATCTTCTTATAAGTAATTATTCTTTTAGAATTATTTTTTTGAAAGTTTTATTTGGGGATTTTTAATAAAGAATAAAATGAGATATTATCTTGTAATCTCTTTTTTCGTCCATATTATTAAAAATCCAAACGAAACAATGATTTCATTTCAAGCCTTTTTTATTATATTCCACGAGTCCTTTGGTAGATTATCTTTCACATTTTCTGTCCTTCGCTAGATGTTCTACAGTGTATTTATTTTATTATTATTAAAAAATAAATATTATCCTCGTAGAAATGATACTCAAAGTAATGCAATAAAAACCCTAAACAAAGAATATATTTTTATTTAAGTCTATTTTAATTGTTTTTCAATTTGCCCCATCATGACAAAAAAAAAAAAAAAGATCGCGTGAGTCCTCGAAATGGCTCATGTCTTTTTTTTTTTTGCAATTTGAACGGGATAGGGCTTCCTTAATTAAACGTTCAAACTTGCTATGTGAGAACGAACGATTCGCATAGTTGGACAATGAGACTAATATTTAGGAGTAGGGTTAGTGTTTATAGATTGGATTAATGGCCTCTCTGTGTTTGAAACGGAGTTGGGGTGAAATCGATGTTTTTTATTGAATTACATTACAAATAATTATTAGTTAAAATTTTCTTTAAAAAAAATATGCACTTTTGCTTGTGAGTTGGTAAAACGCATTAAAATAAAATAAAGAATAATCGTTAAAAATAATACATTTTTTAAATAATGATGATAGTTATTGCCTGAATATGACACATGCCTATAATTGGTGTTAGGATAATTCTAATGAAGTAACTCTCATAGTTAGTATAATACATTATTATCCAATCATGAATTGTCATATTAAAAATACACTAACAATTGAAAAAAACTTTACAACCCACTCTACACTTTCATAAGCAATGTAATTATAGCTTTAGAATAAGCAATTGTCATACATCTTAGTTGTGGTTAAAATTAAATAATTATAACAATACTAATTTTCTAAGATACAGCCCCTGATTTCAAAAGAGCCAAATTACTGAAAGAATATGCAATGTAATACCTTTAGAATTTGGAGATTTTTATCAAAGACGTCCAATTTTTATTTGGAGTTTTAACACGAGTTAAGGGAAGAGGAATGACGCACATTCACAACCGAGTGACCATTTCCATTAGTAGAATAATTAAAATTAGTAACCAAATAATAGAAGGGACTTTTTATTATCATGCGGTGGAGATAAAGAGAGAGTTTTGAACATTGCGATGAAATTTTGGCAAGCCAGCTAATGATTCATCCTTATAATGCAGCGGAGGCCCTTTCCTTCCAAGAGATAATCAAAAGCTCTGTTGATGTCCTCAAACCCCACTTCATGCGATACAAAGCCATCTAAGCTAAGTTCCTGTAACAGAAATAGCAAAATATATATATTATTATATGTAGCCAATCGTTGATACACTCATTTTGCTACGGGCATCTTTACCAGTTCATTTGATTTTCGGTTTAAAATTAGTATTGATGCATATTTACTAATTATGTGTACAACACTTACTTTGTCAAAGTACTTTTTTGCGAAGAAGGGAATATCAAATTTGGGTTTGATGCCTCCAAATAGTGATCCGATTATAGTTCTGCCTCTTATTAGGTGATAAGGACTCAAAGTCAGTGGCGAGCCGTGCATTTCCACCCCTAATACAACCGTTTTCCCCCAACCCTGATCCCATCAAACCAACCATGGAGAGTTAATTAAATGAGTGTATTGTAAACTCAAGTCAAAAGAAAAACAAAAATTGAAGTAAATGGGAGATGTATAACTCGAAGAAATAACTCGAGCACTGAAAATCAATTAATGTGGCTCCTTTATAGTGACTTCTAAAGAAAAATATCATTTTTAAAACATTAAATTTATTTTTAAATTTCACTTTTTATTCAAAGTATGCTAAAAATATTTATATTATTAATTCTCCTCGCCAAGTAAATAATTATTTTATAAAAAAAAGGTGGGAAGTTAATTGATAAAAAAGATACGACAAATAGTAATAAATAATCTTAATGTTTTACTATAATATGTATGTATACATTTTATCACAACTTGAATTATTAACTTTTAAAAAATGTTAGATTGAGTTTTAAATTAGTTTACGAAATTGTATCCAAATATGTGAATGCGAGCTGAATGTGCATGTTAGACATTAAACAAGGGATAGAGCAAACATCTCGGCTGCAATTAAAAGCGTCCGCCATTAACGAAGCCAAGCCTATGCACTCGAAGCAATAATCAGCACCTCCATTTGTCATTTCTTTAATCACCTAATAGGGGAAAAAGTAGTGTTTTAATTAAAATACAAGAAGAATAAAATCTCACCATATTAGGTGAAAAGTGCGTTGCATGATTATGTTAAATTATTAATTCAAAAAGTAATTTTTAAAAAAATATTATTTATCACTTCATCAGACAAAGATCAATAATTCATGAGTTAAAAATAACGACCTCGCTCACTGACTTCTCCTTGCAAGTGGAGGGATTCACAAAATCGGTGATTCCAAATCGTTTACCTGTATATGATAAGCAAGACAATGATGATTCTCAAAATTTAAAATACCCGAAAGAAGAAATGTAAAATTGTGCATTCTCTTTCAAAAATCACTACAGAGAAAGAAAGAAAGATAGCCAAAGTATCTGGTCGAAATACCAATTTCAAATTTTTCGTTATTTAAATCGACGCCTATGATCTTTGACGCTCCTCGTTGCTTTGCTCCTAAAGCAACCTGTTTTGACGCAAAACTTGCAGGTTAAATCACTAGCCTTTATGCATTAAATGAGTAAAATAATTCACACTAACATACAAGTATTATTAAGAAACTTAATTTTAAATAATAACTCTGAGATTTAATCCTGATCTTAACATGTTAGATTCACTTGGATCAAGATTTGCTTCCCTGGCATAACAGTTATTGTAGATGGTTCATTATTACAACTTTTTATTTAATGTTGACAGCGCAAGATCGTAGATCAAGTGCTTAGATATAGTAGCATCACCAATTAGCGTGTAAGGTATAATTCCTTGTGTAAAGAAGTTGCATAAATAACTTGCAGTTTTAATAATTCTTTAAAATGGAGTTGATAATCCCCAGAGATTTTTTTTTGTATTATCTTTTTCCGTTATTTATCTCTCTTTTTATATTAATTTTGATATGTAATTTTTGAAAGTGTGTTCAATATATTTCTAGAATTAAATTTTAAAAGTCATTAATAAATTACTTGTGAAATTTTCTAAAAAAATAAAAAGTTGATAAGAATAACAAAAATAAGTCGAGTAAAAATTAATTATCCTAATCCGATTTATTATTTTTCGGATTCATTACTCAATAGGATTGAGTTCCTCAGAACTTACAGCTAGGCCTACGGTACCAAGCCCAAAAATAGCCACTGTAGCACCTTCTTCTACGTCAGCCACCTTCCATGCTGCCCCCACCCCTGCAAGGATACCATCTAATTATTTCTTTAATTTTGGATTCATGTAATTTTCACGTATTCCTGTTCCAAATGTATTTTGCAAAATATATTAACATTCTGAAAAAAATAATTTTAAAATAAAAAAAGTGGAAAAAGACTTTGAAAACGACTCCAATAACTCGTTATTTTCTTGGATCTTTGGTTCAACTAAATTTATATAACTCAATATCTTTAACTGGTGAGTTTAATAAATTTTAGTCTTGATATAATTAATTTTAATCTGTTAAATATAATTAAAATAGTATGATGTACTTTACCACCTGTTCCCGTTCTGATTATATATATATATACTTTTTCGTTGTCTTTAATAGAAAGTTGAATTTAGCTTACCTTTAAAAAATAATTCAAAGAAAGAAGATTATGAACCATTGTGAATTTAATTTTAAAAGATGTGGAACATGTAATAGTTGTTATTGCAGTGAAATGATTTGACACCCAGGCAATGGATGTGTGGTAGAACGCTAACTAGCTAACCTGTGGAAACTCCGCAACTAAGCAAGCAAGCCTTTTCAACAGGAAGCTGAGGACTAATTTTGACGACTTGGGTCACATCAACGACGGTGTATTCAGAGAAACTGCTAACACTGAAAAGATTTTGCAAAGCTTCTCCGTTCATGTCCCTAAACCTGCTCGTTCCGTCTCTGGGCATGCAATGATCCCGTTGTGACCCGAACTTGGAGCAAACGTTGCTTTTTGGGCTTTTGCAATCTCTGCACTCTCCACAGTGAGGTAAGAACACTGGCACCACTATGTCCCCCTCTTTAACCTCTTCCACGTGTTCCCCCACGCTCTCTACTTCCCTGTTGTAAAAAAGACTCAGTCTTCATAAAACAAAAACACAAGGAAAATTATATACAAGCTTGAACTCGATGATCACCCCACAGCTTCGTGTCCCAAAATTCTTGGAAACTTAGCAGCCGGCCCCTGAGGATAATTAAATCATATGAGATACACGTTTGAAAGTGTTCTGTTAACTCATAAAATTTAAAAATCATGATAACACTTTGTTCGTACTGAATTCATTTTCCAAAAGGTTACATCAGAGTGACACAGGGAAGTGCAGAAAATCTTGATTCGGACTTCCCAGGCTTTGGGTGGATCTAACTCAACTTCTTCTATGACAAGAGGTTCACCTGCTTTTCTGCATATTGCAGCTGTTACAAGTCACAAAGAGGACTAATTAGAAGTAGTCAAATATATATGTATTATGTATGTAGTATTATATGGAGAACAAAAACCTTTGCATCTAATTGGCTTGCCAACATTTTCATGGGTACAGCTTCTGCTCGCCATGGCCACAGAGGACTTGAAGTATGTGAGGCTAAAAAAACAGATGCTGCAGATTAGAGTAGAGTCCAATATTTTTACGTTTCTTTTATACACACGCGAACCCAACTATGGAGCAGAGGAACCGCAACACCAACCTTTTTTATTTTCTTTAATGTAAATTGACATTTTAAAAGAAGGATATTCTTATATTCATTTTTTTACATTGTTTTTTTTATTACATCATCTATACACTTTTATAAATATTTTATGCATATCTCTTAGGCTCTTAAGTATAAACACTTGGAAAGTGATGATAAATAATAAATATATGCAATGTGATATAAGAGAATCAAATAACTAAATATATATATGACATATTGACGACTGATATGTCAATAATTTAAAATTATACATCTCTCAGTTTTTCTCTTTTTATTTATTTTTTCATCATTTTATGTTTATTTGTTAAATATTTGTCTTAAAAGAAAATAAGTTAGGAAGTACTAATTTTTAATTAATTTAAATATCATCAACCAGAATATCTGCTACCAACTACAGGACGCATACATTATTGTTGATATGCATTTCAAGACGGCAAGCGAGTTTAAATAAAAATTGTGAAGTACTTTTCTTTAGGATGATGGTCACGAACTCGTGAATACAACAAACATTAATTCCCAACTCCATTATAATTCAACTCTCCTCCTAATTATATTAATTAATTGATATGATTACCCTATTTAAAAACCCATGTGTGGAATGATTAGAAGTTGAGCTAATGATCATACTGAACCATTTGGTTCATCTGTTTTCTTTAGACTTTATGCCTTAAATTAAATGTGTCCAACCCTATGCAACCACTCCTTAGTAAGACAACTCATCCAACCCTGTGTAACCATTGTAGTACTAGTTAGTTATAATATGCCAAATATAAAGTTTGTAAGATGACGATAACATTGTAACTAACACGGTACTGCATAAGAAACAAAACATTTAATTAATATTATTTAAGCTTTTTTATATTACATGAACATTATTAAATTAAATAGACGAAAATTTTAAAATATTTATATTTTTTTATCAAGAATGACAAATTGAAAATATAAAATTGGAATTGAGGTTAAATTTAAAAAATATATTAAATATGTAAAAATTCTCATAATATAATAAAAATGTAAATTAACAGTTTAAAATGTTGGTGTTTAAAATAGTCTTATTACGAATAAATTCTTAAATATTTTTGAGAAATTTTGACGTGTAAGTATAACCGTGTAAATTGGACTTTTTACCCTAATTTGAGTTAGTTCGACTCAAGTTTGATACTCTATGGAGTCAAATTAAAAATTACGTTTATTTAGACTACAAATAGAAATTTTAATTTAATACAAATTCTATAGTTTATATTTAAATAAATTAAATAGACTCAAAAATAATTTAAAAAATTGATAGATCGAGAAAAAAAAAATCAAATTTGGTTTGAAGTCAAAATAACGAATTTACTTTAATTCATCCATTTTACTGGTTTTATATCTTTTTTAAAAATATGTAAATTTTGTGGCTTTTCACCATAAAAATATTTTTTAAAAAGCTATTTATTAAAATAGTATTAATTCAAAATTAATTACTTAAATAATTTAATTCAATATTATTTTTTATATAATAAAATTAAAATTATTCAACCCGCTAAGAAATGACAAATGTCACGATTTAATATATAATCTACCGTATAAATATAAACAACACGTGTTATATTTGTAATGTGTTGTTGTATAATCTAAAAATGTCACACACGATAAGGGTGATTTTTTTCGAAACTTATCATATCAGATCAATGAAGTTATTTTGTTTTTTTCAAATTTTTCTTTAACTGTAACCGTCTCTAAGTTATTTGGTTATTTTTGTCAGAATTAAAGGAAAAAATATATATGAATTCCGTTTTCACTAACCTGTTGTTTTTGGGTTAGTAAATTGATATGGTTGTTCATGTTTGCAGTGCATGTAAATAAAATTTAATTACAGTTTTTTAAGTATTTTTTATTTTGTTTATTAATTATTATGATAAATAAATAGAATATATAAAAAATTATTAAAAATGCTAAATTTATTATAATAATTACATGATAATTAATTTTAAAGTTATTTTAGTTAGTTCAAAAAATAAATTTAGCATTCTCTTTTTTATTTTCATTTTACACGCTTCTACTCTTACTTGTTCGTCAATGTTCAAGACCAAGGAGAGTAATACCCATCCCACATAGTTTATCAGGGATCATCCATTTTCCACCTAATTTAAAATTGGGAAAAAGGTATCATTGGCCCAATGATTAGTGTAGTTCTTTTTATCTGTCATTTGGGCTCTGATTACCCTTGTTCAACAAAAAAGACCCCTCTTACTACTATTGCTTTATTTCAGTACAATGAGCCGCCTCTGCTTAAAGATAATTTTTTTTTTCAGCCCTTTGCACTCCCCTATACTGAACCCAGAAACAAAAGACACTACCCTAAATTTATGGGCTCTCTTTTTCCATAAAAGTTGGAGTAGGCCCAACATACTCGTTTATATGGTAAAAGGAGTGAAACTATGCTCGAAATGATTGGATAATTGAAGGTTAGAGATAGGATGATGATATCACAACTTAAAGAGTTAGAGGAACCTGAAATCGGATTATCCATCGTATTCTCACCTCACAACTAAAAAACGTAACACCTAGAATTACTAATCCACCTATTCAGATAGCCAAGTTTAGTGACTAAATTGCTACTTGAATGTATGGTATGGTAGCTGATTTTGTTTTACCAATCCCTGAATGGGGAAGATTCATTTCTTGGTTTTTATTATTAGCATCCACTGACAAACGTAGGAGCCAATGTCATTTATAGTTTAGACTCCAGTTCCATTCTATAAATATTTAAAGCAAAATATAAGAATTTCCCAGTACTTTGTACTTGAATGTTTTTACATTTTCAGCTTTAATATTTTAAAATTATTTGTTGCTTTAAAAATTTTATTTCTTTAATTTTATTAGTGTATTTTGATAGAAGCAAAAGAACCTTAATGCAATAAGAGAACAATGTAACTAAAAAAATAGTTTCGCTATTAAAATATATAACATTTCAAGTTTTATATGTAAATTTAAAGTAAAAATTATTTTTAAAAGAAAAGAATAAATCATTCTCTTTTGAATTATATAATAATGATGAGTATTTTTAATGTACTCGTCAAGGAAACAAAAGTAAAAAATGTTATATCCGAATAGGTGAAAATATTATCTGAACATACATTAGTTTTATATACTAATAGAATTGTCTATATATAATAATATATTTATGTATTGATATAAAAAATAACATAAACTTATAATGTCTTCATTAATTAATAAAATAGTCTTGATTATGAAGAATTATATTGACAAAACAAGCCTAATTAGTGTATATCAATAAAGATAAGAACCCTTAGAATTTAATGTCAAAGATTCCGTCGAGACATGATTATTGCATTATGAAGACTAATTAACCCCCAACACGTGCGATGTTTGCATACGGAAAACCTGCTTTAAACCATGTTTTGGATTTTACTTTTCAGTTTCTTTCCGTTTAGGAATTGAGCTATCGGCACTCTCGACAGTATAACTTTATTTTCCACTCCTCTCTCTCTCTCTCGTTTTCTTTTTAGATTACATAAACTCTATATTTATGTTAATATTTTGTAAGTCTTCAATCTATCAATTTTTTTGTCTTAAATAACACATTCAGAAATTAAAGTTTTGTGGATATAAATATTCAAAAGAAATTAAACAACATATATAAATTCTGATTCAGTTACACGCTCCAGAAAAGAAAACAATAAAATTGTTAATTATAATATATTATTGTTAGGTGAATGGCTATCCATTAAGGCCCAAAAGGGCCCGTGAAGAACAAGAAATCCGCGTTCTTTTAATCACAAACTTAGTAGAAAGCGACGGCTAAACCTAACGTCATTATCAATATGTTGAAACAAATTGTCGATAGATCAATGAATATAAAAAGGAAGAGAGAGAGAAGAGAGGGCAATCAGTGGCATATCTGAGATTCCAACGCTCTCGTCCTTTTGAACACATAGAAACAAACAAATATGTAAGTTGCTTTCGTTGTTCTCAGTCAAAAGGGTCGAGAAGAGAAGGCGAGTGAATTAAAGAAAGGAACACCCTCATGACATAAGGCTGGAAAAGTTAACAAAGTGATATTTCCGATCACAGTTTATTAATCATTTGCCTAGTGAATGTAATCTATCCAAGCTGTGGGTCACACACAACCAAAGCAAGAAGGGCCCTGCATTGTTAGTGCCAAACAAACACCACACGGGACCACTCAAAACTTCATTAACACTAATTCTATTGAGTAAACTCATTAAATAGTTTTTAATTTTGTAAGAGTCATACAATTTAGTCATTAAAATTTCAAAATCCCTCTTCCTCATGTACTTGTTATATCCTCACCAACATCATTAACAGGTATTCTTTAATTTTTCTGGGAAGCAAAACGACTGATAATTATCAAGATGCTTGGGCATGGGTGACTTAGAGGAAATGGGTACAACACCCTAATCTTTTGTTATGTTATGCTTCACTTCCTATGCTTTTGGAGTTCAACATTATGTTCCCTCATTTACAATTAGTTCTTGCATGGCCCTTGTAACAATTATTGTCCCATTACTTTGTGTGATCTAATCCATTTTTTGTATTTACGTTGTCTGTTGTTGATATCCTTGTATTGCAATAGATGGCCCCTTAGTTGCCATTTTTTGGTCACAAAATTTATGTTAGACCTTCTAGTATTGTTTCTTGTCATGATCAATGTATTACTAACAAAAACAAAACTAGCAATCGCCAATAAGATATCAATAATACAACAACGAGGAACGTGAGAAAATTGGGGAAAAAAATTATACTAGGCTTGCAAATTGTGACCTTTTTTTCTCATTAAAATACAACATTGATTTACTGGTGCCTTACTTAATGTAATAATTCAGAGTTTTGTTAAAAATAACTAATAACAAATGACATTAAAGACTAAACTGAAAGATAATCTATAAAACTAACACAGGAATTTTGAAACCTTATATATTAAACTGTCTAACTCCTGCAATTTCAATGATTATTTTGGATGTTTACTCCACAGATTCGTTAAAATATAATAACATTTTATTCCACGTAATCACTCGTCGTATCCACCTGGGCCCTTAGTTAGCACAAGTTAAAACATATATTCAATTTAAAGTATTTATTGTATTAAAGCATAAGAGATATATTTTGTAAAATTATGTTCTAAAGATATTAGTTAAGAAATATTAAATCCATTCTATTAATTTTTTTAGTTATTTGAAAATAGATATTAAATCTGTTTTATTTTTAATATAATATTTATTTTTATATATTTTTAAAATTTAAATGTTGTAAAAATATTAGTTAATATTTGCTTTAAAAAAATAAATATTTACTTGTTAAAGGTATTACAAATTTTTAAAATATAAATTAAAATTAATATATTTTAATAAAAATATTATTTTAGATTAGATATATATCTTTGATTTAATCTTAAATTACAATAATATTTTTTTCTATTAAAAAGTGCTCTACATAACCTTTTTCTATGTGCAACTGACTTTGATAAACCAATAAATGCGTGAATTGATTAATATAATTTTGTTTACTTAATTTAGTTTTGAGACTTAATTATCGTTAGCGGCGTTAACGGATAGTTTTATATTTCCATTCCTTTCGTAGTCTTGGAGTGATAGTCAAAATAATAAATAAAACTTATTAATGAATGTATTCAAATAATGATTATAAATATTAAATATTTTTATTTATTCAAAAAATAAATGTTGAATAAGTTTTCCATTTAAATATATGAACACGAGAAATTGAAGCTAAAATATTATTATACAGAAATTATGAAAAAATATATTATTAATTTTTTAACAAAAATTATGACCTTTTTTTTAAAAACATTAGCTAGCATTTATCTTAATTTAATTTACAATATGAAAGACAATATGTGGAACTAAACTACATGAGTTAAAATATAAACTATCCCTTTTATTGTATATCTATCGTAAAAGAAAAAGTATAAAAAATACATCAAAATAGTTATATGTCTGTTTGTATTTAATAAAATATAACTCTTGACAAAATTAAAAAAAACCTTTGAATAATTATATCATGTGTTTGATTTTATGTTTTTTTTTAATCTCGTGAATGTATGCTAATTTCACACTATACAAAGTCTGTTTTTTTGTTTTAAACGTGCTTTTTTAGTTTATTTAATATTCAATAGAATCAATAATAATTAATATTAATTTAGTGTAACTAATATATTTATTTATTTATTTTAAATTTTAATATTAACATATTAATGCATTTATTTTTATAAATTTTACGGTAATTTTAAATTTTAATAATAATATTTTATTTTAAATTTTATTATTATAAACTAATAATAAATATCTGATTAATAAAAAATAGTAAAACAAATAAATAAGAATAAATGAATATAAATTTTAAAAGTTATAGAACAATAAAATAAATAAAAATTAATATTAATTTAATGTAATTAATATATTTATCTATTTTTTAAATTTAAAAATAACACATTAATATATTTATTTTTATAAAAATTAAAATATTTTTAAATTTTAATTTTATTTTAAATTTTAATTTAATGCATTTAACATATTTATATTTTTTTATATAATTTTAACATTAAGATATTAATATATTTATTCTTGTAATATTTAAGGAATAACAATAATCAGTTATAAATAATTAAATTTTTATTAATAATAATTTATATGTAATAATTAATTTTAAAGTTTAAAATAATTTAAATATTATTATAAAAATATTTTTGATTTTATAATTAATAATTATAATATTTTATTATAATATATCTATGTATTTTACGTGTCACTTTACTGGTTTATGTATAAAATAAAAACATTAAATATTGTAACATATTAACTAAAGATGAAGTATTTTTTTCAATAAAATAATAAGAGAATATAATATAAAATTTCATACTAAATAAAAAAAATTGCCCACTCTAACAATAATGTTATTTAGCCTTTATATATATAGTTTTTATTTATTTAATTTTGAATCGTTTTGCAGCTCACCGTAGTGGCAAAAGAGAATAAGAGGTAATTATGATGAGGAATGTGGTCAAAAGGGCTTTTGAAATTCGGAAAATGGTGCAATAGAATCACTGACTAGCACAGTACAGAGTAACGGACTTTTGACCAGAACAGGAAACACTGAAGCAGGTTTTGGAAATAGTGAAACCCGTTAATTACATGCTTAAGTTCCTTAATTCCCACACCCACAATTAATCCCTTGCTTCCTAGTTCCTATGGCCTCCTAGATAATATTTCCAAATCCTTATTACACTGCCAATAATTCTCACATTATTAATTAAAATTTTGAATTCTATTTTATTTAAATATTCAATCTCTTATTTAATTCATTCTTATTAAATATTAAAAATATTCTGTATCAGGAAACAGCAATATCACCTTGTAAACAAGTAAATAATATTTTGCAGATTAAAAAGAAGAAAAAAAAATGCTCATTAACTATAAAGTATTATATTAATTTAATTCCTAAAGTTGGCACAAGCAACCCATTTTTTATATTATAAAAATACTCACAATGCCAATTAATTTAATGTCTACAATTATTATATTGATTAATTTACTTAATAATATTATTAGACCATTAAATTAATTTTTTGACCAAATTTATTGATTCAAAACTGCATTAAAGTTTAAGACTGGATTTATTTTATTATGATAAAAAAAGACCAAATTAATTAATATTATTTAATAATAATAATAATAATAATATCAATTTAAGAAACTTAATTAATCTTTTGCTATGTTAAGATTGATATTTACGTTATATTTTAATATCTAAAAACGATAAATTTATTTTTAAAGACATCTATTATACATTTTTATATTTTTAATTTTAGAAAATGTCTTAAAAAGTGACGCTACCACTTCCCTAACTAATTTTTTCTTTTTGGTCCAAAGCCTTATTCTTTTAATCATTAATTTACATCCACTATGTACTGAAGGATGAAATTACGAACACAGAATTTGGGTACAGTAGCAGGAGACTGAAATTTAGGACCAAAAAAATGGAACCTTTCATTTTCTCTTATTTTGTTCTGTTTTGAGTCCCACCCTCTTTATGGTTTTTCTATTTTTGGCTGGGGCATCATTCCCCTTGGACATACATGATTTAAGATTCTGTGCCATGGCCAATTTGGTAACAGCCAGGGCAACCGTAACAGGTTTGACCACCCATGCTCAGCAAGACTCAATTTCAAACTCAGCCACGTGAATTGTTTTAAATTCATTTTTTCAAATCTTTAAAATTTTGAAATAAAAAAAAATAGCTTCAAAATTAAAATAACGTACATTAAATTAGAAATTAACATAAAGCTTGATATGACGTGACGAGTGGCAATTGAGGGATTAGTAGATAAGATCATAATTTGATATATTCATCAGAAAGAGAAAAAACAGAGAGGTGGCATGGGTTCCCTTCTTTTGCGATTGTTGTCTGTTCTCTTCTTTTAAGCTTAAGAAAACAATATTAAAAGCAGCGAAAGAGAAAAGAGAGAAATATTCTTTTTCCTTCATTGCTCTATTCATTCACAGCCTCGTTACCGCAGTAAGACAACATCAATTGACTTTTTTTTTTTTTTTTTTGGGGGCCAAGGTTGTGAAGAGAGAGTGACCAATGAGCACATTCCACGTCCGCATGTTTTGTTTATATAGTCTTCTCTGTCCCTACTCGCCATCAGCGATAAGAGGAAGCCCACCACCACACAAACCCACCAACATACATGCATACATAGCTCTGCTCAACCCCCAAAGACACACACACACACACACACACAGAGAGAGAGAGAGAGAGGTAATTGTTGTGTAATGGATAAAAGCTGTCAATCCTCTGCAGACTCTACTACTACTAGTAGTGGAATAACCACAACCTCTGCCAGCAATAGCAATAGCAGCAGAGATCACTATCTCAGGCACCTCAACAAGCTTTCCCAAAAGATCTCAAAGCCAATAATTAAAAACACTTCTCAGGCCCAGCCACAACAGAACCCTCCAACCTCCTCCTTTAACAATCAGGTGCAGCCGCAACCCCAGCAGAACCTACAACACCAGCCACCGGTTTACAACATAAACAAGAACGAGTTCAGGGACGTCGTTCAGAAGCTAACTGGCTCACCTGCACACGACCGCATCTCAACACCTCCTCCCATTCAACAACCCAAACCACCAAGCTCTCGCCTTCAGCGTATTCGTCCTCCTCCGTTGCCTCAAATCACTAACCGTCCTCCACCGCTTCTTAACCCTAATATTCCTCAACCCTCTAACGTTAACGCCGTTTCATTTTCCACCTTTCCAAGACCCGCTGCGCCGTTATCTCCTCTTCCGCCGTTTCCCTCCGTTCACGCGCCTGCTGAGTCGCCTATCTCTGCGTACATGCGCGATCTGCACAATCTTGTCACCAACGTCGACTCCAAGCAGTTTTCGGGGTTTTCTCCTTTAGTTTCTCAGCCCCAGCAAGGGATGGTTCCTTCGCAGGCGCCGCCGCCGCCGCCGCCGGTGGTGCCGTCGCAGTCGATGTTTCAGATGCCGTCTTCGCCGGTGCCTTTCGGGTGTTTGAATTCCCAGCTCTCGTCTTACCCTCTGCTGTCGCCGGGTCTTCTGTTTTCCCCAACTTCGGGTCAATTAGGGTTTCCTCCGTTTCCCCTTTCTCCCACCGTGCCCGTGCCTAGCCCTCGATGGAGAGGGAATTGACTTTGATGTTGTCGGAAGGGTGAGGTAAGGGTGGTCGCAGTGATGGTATTTTAGGTCTGGGTTGTTTGCGTTACGTGTACATGGTTTTAGGTGGTGGCCGGTGGTTGGGGAGTGGGGATTTATTCAATTTGTAAATGGGATATCAGAAAAGGAACAATTTTGCTTTTGTTGCTGCTCTTTTCGGATATTTGGTGGTTGCAAAACAAGAAATTAGATGTCATACAGTTATAGTTGGATTATGCTGTTTTTAATATTAAAAAAAAAAAGGTTTATTGCCTTCTTCATTTCTTTCTCTAATCATGTGTTATTGTCTTGGTCATGTTGATATTTTCCATTTATTTCTTTAGCATTTGTGAGACATGCTGGTTGGTTAAGTTTTGAAAGTTGAATTAATTGAAGATGATGGTCCCCTCACGTTCTTTTTTGAGGGACTGTGGCTGCCACCTCTTTGATGCCTACTTAGGCTTAAAGGGGAAACACATGACTGGTTAAATTAAAAACGCGTGTGTTATTCAATGATGGTGTGGACTACTAGCATTCCTTGGAAAGGTTCCGGCGAGGAATTTTTGTTCCGTAAGAGACTCTGGTTGTCTTTTATTGATTTTTCAGCTGGTGCCAACATCCATCCCCTCATACCAGGTTGTAATTTTTCTGCTACGTTTGCATGATAGCTGACGTTGTTATAGAACATCATAGTAATTTTGCCTCAAAATGTACCTCAACTTTTTTTTTTTTTTTTTCTGGTAAGAGCTGCAACTTTATATTGAAAAGCACCTACAATGTTATTTGTATTGTTTGAAGTTTCATCTCGGTAACGTCTCTCACCTCGGTAATGTATCACAAACTTCGAAGAAATGAGTGGAAATTATCAACATGATCAAGAAAATAATACAGAACTCCAACTTTGATTCGAGAACAACATTAATAATACTTATGGTATTTTAACTAACTTTTGTCTCTTACTTTATTTTTATTAATTATAGATAATGCGTTTCATCTACGACTTAATATGTTTTCAAATACACATTTAATATCATACAATGTGGCTTAGGCATTTAGTTTTTCTTTTTCTATTGTGTTACTATATTGTGTGTAGGCTTTTTTCAAAATGTATTCTGCTTTGGTATTCTTGTTATTGGCTCTTGATTTGCATTTTGAAACTTCATTCGCTGAGGAGATTGGCTGTGATTCTTTTATTTGATTTTTTGAGTTGGCATTGGTTGTGGTTCTTTAAACGTAGTCTTTTGGGTTAAAATTTTATGGGGGAACAATCAGCATGAATGTTGTTCTGGTGTGGTGATGGAGCTCAAGATAAGTGGTGCTGAATTTTGTAGAACCATATGAAACACTTTGACGAGTAGAAAGAGTAGGATCTGACTAGGTATCATGGATCTTTCTTGCAGAGGGATCTTGTTTCGTGCCCCTTCCTCTTTGATATTCTCAAATCTTTGGCATCCCTTAGGTAAAAAGAATTAAATGAAGAATAGGAAAACTGACTATAGCTAGTGTTTAAGCAAAAAGAGGGATCTTAGATTAAACAAAAAGAGGAAATTGCCATGTTTACTGTTCCATCCGGCTTTAGTACCTTGATCCCAGAATTTTGTTGTCTCCCCCGAAAATCCGGCAAGTCATTTCTGTATATGGCTTTCTGTTATTGAGTAGGGATATAGGATTGCAGCAAGATCATCACCGAATAATTAGTTTTCTGAACTGATTAATGGTAACTCCCGATTCTGTGTTCCTCTCGTCTGTGTTGAACCATTGGTTTTAACTGCCAATTCTGGTGACACAAATACTCCTGATTCCATTAGCGTTAGAATGTGTTTCTCTCATTCGTGGTTGGATTAACTAACGAACACCAGTTTGATAACTAGAGAGTAAAATGATATGCAATCAATTGGGAGTTAATGAACCAATTCTAATTTTATTTTTCCAATCCGGCAAGTGCCTGGATGTTGTTCTTTGCAATTTGCCAAAGGATACTTCTACTCACATTTGTTACGTTGTTTTTTGTACTTTTACGGAATCAAATACATGTCGGGTCTTGTGTTCTGGGAATGGATTCTTGTAAATCTTAGTATCTTACAACAAAAAAGCGTCATGATATCTTTTTCTTTTATGCGTTTATGTTGCCGATCTTTGTGCTACTTCTGCCTGGGCATAAAGTTGCTAGGTTGTAGGGGAGTTAATGTTTTCTAATTTTTTATTCAAAATATTATTAATGCACTCTAATTTTAATTTCTAATACATTTTTAACATAACTTTTGATATATATATATATATATATATATATATATATATATATAAATTTTTTAATCAGTATGTTTAAAATTCTTTTCTTAAAATCACAAAGTATGAAGTTAATTGAGCTTCTCGAATCTTGCTGAGCTATGGAAAGGGCTACTACCTCTAAGCCGCCAATGTTATTTTTATGTCTTATGATGTCCTATGATCCACTTGTGAATGGTCTTTGCACTTCGAAATCCACTTCCAACTTGATGTTAAGCATAAAGTACTTGAAAGAATGAAAAATAAGAGCAACTTTAATCCATCTTGTATATTATTTTAAGTTAAAGGTAATATCATATCAAAATTAGACTACAGGAAAGTCAAGCAAAGTAGAGCTAAACTTACGAACTAAATTTTTTAACACATTAAAATTATAATAAATTGAGCTATAAACAATGCCAAAGCCAACTCCTTATTCGTTATGCTCTTACGCCAGATCAAGTCTGCGTTTGAGGAAATGCAGAAATTTATTGGTGTATACTTTGTCGCACAATCAAGGTAAATTTATTTGGGCAATATTTATCTCTGGGAGCTTCTATAATTTATATTTGATTTGTTCTTAGCTATTGGACTTAAGTTGCATTATCTAAAGCATTCTATTTTTTTCTCCTTTTGGCTGTAGTGCAAGAAAGTGAAGATTAAGACAGGGAAGCTTTGTCACTCCATTGGTTTTATTTGTTTTGGGCATTAATGTGGTTGGAAGTGCGTCATGCGAAGTTAAGATTATGCATTTATGCGTTTCCTTTGATTTGGACGGAACCCTAACCTAATACGCTGCCGCCCAATTGCTTCTGAAAAGTTTGGTCAATTATCCAATCACTCAGGAATCACTATCACATGCCCCTCTCTAAATTTTCACTTTTTTTCCTACGCCTCCATTTACAATCTTATTATACGATATATTTAAATATAAGATCATAATAAAAGTTTAATAAATAATGAATTTTATTAATAATCGTAATATTTAATATCATTATATTGTTTAAAAACTTCATTGTATATGTATTTATTGTTGTGTCTCTATTCACGTTAACAAGTTCATTTATTATGTAGTAATACTTTTTCACTTTTCCTTTGATTGTAAAACTTTTGCATGCATAACATGTGGCCCATGCTTCAACTATCACATACATAATAATCATATTTTTTTTCTATTAAATTAGCTAAAACTAAAATATTAGAAGGAGAAGGTGGCGGTGCTCGTTAAGAGTAACGTTAGTCTTTCCCGGTGAAATTATTACCTTATGAGTTACTTAAATTACTTATTTATGATATCTTTATAAACATTATAATAATATACTTTTATTTTATTTTATAAAATTTCAGTGTTAATGGTATAATTTTAGAAGTCTTATTAAATGAACCTGTTAAATTACCTTTAGAATTTAATTTCATTACAATGTATTTTATTTTTAATTTAAATTTTAACTTATTTCTATTTTATTTTTAAAATAAGAATAGTTTAAATGTTATAAGTATTTTATATATATCTTAACTCGATTGCCGAACAATGCTAGAATGTATAAAATGATTGCATAAATTGAAGAAACAATTTAAGATTTGCTAATTTTTATGATGCCTTAGTTATTATATTTTTATATAATAACAGTTGATATTTTTACGTAAAATAATTATAACGATTGATATTATAATAAATATATACAATAAATTAGTTTTAAAAAATATAAATATTTTTTTAATTTTTAATATATTTAATTAATTATAACTATCTATTTAAGAATGGTATAAAATATGTTTTTGGGTTTATGGACATAATAACAAGTACTTTAAGATATTTCTATTAAAATTTATGTTTAAAAGAGTAGTAAAATAGAGAAAAAGAATGAAAAATTGAAAGAATTAAACTAAAAGGGAATAAAGATAAATAGGAAAGAAATAAACAAAAATAAATGAAAGTAGAAGAAAAATAAAATAAAAAAGTATGTTACTTGAATATATATAAAAAAAAAACTTTTTTTTTCTGGTTACTTGAATGAGAAAAATAAAGTAATAAATAAATAATATAAAAACATTATTTTAATTAAAAAACTAAATTGAATAAAAAATATTTATTACTGTATTTTTCTTAACATAAAACCATGTCAAAAATAAACTGTAATTCCCCAACCATTGTCTATATTTTTTAGAATAAAAAAAAAATTGTTTTGATTTTGTACGTATTTGTGTCTTTATTTTCTTCCCCAGCTATTATTAGTACAGCCCTTGGCATAAGTTCTATCTGTCTCAAAACTCCATAGCAATTGAATCTGAATTTGAATCACTACAACACATTGTTATGTAACCAACTAAGCTTACTCTACTAACGGATCACTTAGGCAATGGATAGGGTTGTGGTTGTTGTTGTTTGAGGTTCACCCGTGATAGGTTGATTATTCTGAGAGTTGTTAATGGTGATGGTTTGGTTAGCACTTAGTAGTAACTTGGATTGAAAAGTTCAAATGATACTCTTAACGACATTTGAATCCAAAGCGAATTTTCAATCCCAAAGAGAAGCAATACGACTAAGCATCATCTAATAAAGACAAGATTAATTACAAAATGCGTTTATCCTAGTTTTTTCAAACTTTGAACGTCGCCCCAGCTATGACGAAAAACATATGTTTGGAAGACCCCGCATCATTGCAATGCCACCATCGCGCCCTATCTGTTTCAACCATGTTGTTTCATTTTTGTCTCAATCAGGTACAATACACTGTTATGGTTTCTTTGCTGTTGGAGTTTTCGTTTAAAATTTCATTGTTTGGTATTTAGGATTAACAAGAAAGGAAATGCGTAGTAATAGAATTGTGCAGATGAAAACAAAGAAAAGAAATACAAAGGCATCCAAACGAGGATAAAAAACTCTCCTGAAAAGGAAAGGCTCCCTTTGGGGTAGAAACTACCCGAGGGGTGGAAAGCTAGGATTGGCCAACTTGCTGGGGTTCTGTGCAAACAACATAGGACAACGGCGCCGGTTCAACTGTTATTTCATTCCAATAACTTTTAGGATTTTGCTATACTTATTTTGGTTGACCAAAAAAAATATTTATACTTATTTCGGGTTTAAGCATCTAAATTTATAATTTTTTATTAAAAATATATTCATTATATTAAATTACAATAAATATTTTTTAACAAAATATTATTATTAATTACTTTAAGTCCAGTACTTAAAGAGGTTAACATTTCCCTAGTTTTTATTTATTACTTTTTATGATACACGATTCCAATCAATTTTATGAAAACCATTTATCACAAAATCGAAGTTAGTCTGGGAAAATATAGCTGAGCCCAGTTAGAGCTAGACTCAAGTCTACTTAACTAATCCAATATAAGGTCAAGTGGAATTTTGGGCTATTCACCATGATTAATGGTTTGTTAAAAAATAACCTCACGATTCACGCAAGTTTTCTTCACATAATCGGCAACAGACGCTTTTAATTTTTTTTTAGGTGTCCTTTTCATCATTGTGTGTAATTGATTCACCATTGTGGAATTAAATAGTTTACTTGTACGACAGCCCGTCGCGTTGAAGCCGGGCAAGTGTTACTTCAATTTTGAGGTAGTAATTATCGAACCATTTCAAGACAGCTAGAAAATTATAAAACATACTTTTAAGACCATAATAATAAAATAAAAAATCCACCGGCCAAAAATATAACAGTCCAGGTGCTTGTCCGAAAAGAAAAGTGTTAGCTAGAGAAGGCAGGAAGAGGGAATATATTTTCCAGTTCAAAGGGCCGACAAAATAAAA